ACCCTCCGTTGACATCGACATTGACGCCTGTGCTCGACCACACCAGGGTTTTGTCGATCTTTGCACGAACTTGGTCGTCGAGTGTGGTCCATCTGCCACCTGCCATAGATGCCATGACATGAATCGATGAGGCTATTTTGTTGCATGAGCCCCCTCGCTTTACGATGAACTACCTATCGCTCGTTTGATTCTCGTTCTCTGTACCAGAGGATAAGGCGAACATGAAATTACCTCGCCAGGATACACCGCGGGATCCCAGATAATGAACTCGAACCATTTGTCTTGCGGGAGCCACACATACCACTTGTTTAAGACAGCACAGGGTTCAAAGGGTTAGCGGAAATTTCAGTCAACGATATCAAGCCGATCTTCGTGGGATGAGGTTAGTTCTAGTAGGTGCTACTTACTTATTTCAAGCAATTCGTTCGAAAACGATGATGAGTTGTGTCTGTTTTGGATGGTGTCCAATTCGAGTCACTCGACAGGTCAGAATTCTTGCACAACTTGGACTTCGATGAGACGCAAGTACACACCTGGAGACGGAGACAGGTAAGAAAATCCTTTCTTCCCAACTCCCTTTTTCATGATATCCCGAAGATGTCTGCCTCCGACTTCTCCGAGTCCTACTAGCAACTCGTGTCAAGTTAGCATCTGGTCTCCTTACCTGTCACAATTCAACAATGCGGCATTCGTAGGCACTAGTAGAAGTTTCGTACCCTTATCAATCGTGACACCAGTGATGCCATAACACCATGTTGCAGAGGCGTGAACTGGGTGCTGCCAGATCGGAAAGACCGCATGTCAGATTAGTACCCTTCACTTCGTTGGTCAGCAAATAAGCGCTTGCACCCTCGGGGCATCGAAAGAACTTCTGAAAATTAGCCGTTATCGCCACAACATTTCACACTTACCACCTGCACTTTCTCTCCCTCCCTTGATGTAAACTCGTTCATGCAGCTTTGGAAGTTTTGGCGCTTCTAAGAATGTGCTGAGTACTGTTATTGACGATAGATGACCAATCACCTCCGAGTCTACCAACGCTCGAAAATTTTCAATTTAGTAGCGCATGAACCTCTCCCTAGCCAGACCTTAAGTTAAGATAAAATCGTTAAAGTCTCTGATGCAGTGTGCATCATCCCAGTGCAGGCGGGAATGATTCGAATGAAGCTCTTTCAAACTTACCACCGGGCCTTGAAACCCAGTGAAAAACGGTCCTAGCCATATCTATGGCAAACGACGGTAATATGAGAAATGTGCCAACAATATCGCGAGAGCTATGCAAATCGGGAAAGTGAAATGTGCCGTTGATCCATTGAGTAAAAATCCGTTGAACATTGGTTGAACATGCTGAAATTCTTTCAACTGCGGCTTGCACCGGAATTTGAGGGTAAATAATAGCAGCTATTATTTTCGGAAAATCCCATGTAATCAGTAAATAAACGTATTGTAGCACGTCCAACCTGTTTTCTCCGAATAACCAGTGTCTGTCTCGAGCTATAACTCATGATTATTTTCAAACGCTAAGTCCAGATCTCGAGCTCGAGCTCTGCGCGCTCGCAATATACCGTGGGCGCTCATCGTCTTATCTCACGACGATGGCAGACACGACACATTGCTGCGCACTTAAATCACTCACTGTGCGGACACTTCTACGATGGCAGGAGCCCTTGTTTGGTGCGCCTGTAGCCATTGCTCTTTAACTGACCGTGGTCAACTCCAACAGTCAAGAAAGTTGTCACATATGGCCTTCGTTGCTTTGTCAACAGACTTGACTGTTGGCAGTGCAGTTCCTGCAGACTGAAGTCCATCTATCAATGTGAGTAATTCTTCTAGTGATGCACTCTGCGCATCAACAGTTGCTTCAAGCTTATGTATTGCAGCACGGTGATCTCCGACAGTTGCTCGCAGCACATGGTTTGCCTGGGTGAGTTCCTCGATCTGCGGCTTGAATTCAACTGATTCTCTACTCTGCAGCGTCAACCGATCAACTTTCTCAGCAAGCTGTGCAACAATGGTATCAAGGTTTGTGAGTTTGTCCATAAATTCAGCACTAGGAACTCTTGAACTGGATAGTGATGTTGCCACTGCACGCTGTGAAGGTTTGGTGCTAGTTGAGAAGCCTGGGTGATGAGCAGGAGGTATGTCAGGAGTTTGAAACTGATTGAATGCTGATGGTTTGAGAGGTGGTGCTCCTAGACGACGTGAGGTGGGTTTGAGTGCACTGGTAGTGCTTGGAGTCACTGAACGTGCTTGGCTTGCAGTTGCTGCATTGGGGGTAGGACCTTGCATGGTTGAAACACATCGAGAAGTGGCTGAGACTGGCACACGTGAAGCAGAAATACTCCCATACCCTTTGGGGTGCATATATGCTGCATGTTGGACAGGACCACTGTCTTGAATAGGTGCATGTTTGTGGCTGAGCCATTCAGTCAAGGCTGATATGGAATCCATATCCTGAAGGCTTGGATCAATGTCTGCATCACTGTCATCTGTTGCTTGCTCCATCTCACTCATAGCCTCACTTGAACCCTGATCCATCTGCTGCTGCATCCTTTGGGTCAACTCTTCAGATTCAGCGACACTCATTCCTGGGTCAAAGGGTTCTGCTGCTGCAGGGTTGTGATGATGCGAGGCGAATGGATTGAGAAAGGATGATGGCCCCTCCCCTCCATCCCCTCCCGCAGGCCGTGCTCATTTTGAGGTGGACACATTTGCCAGGGTTTCCAAAGCCCTCTTCTTTGCAAGTGGACCTGGTTTAGCAGTGCTTGAGGGCTTCAAGGGCACACTGGAGGATTTGTTGGGCGTGTTCTGGTGCGGTCCTGCCATATTCACGGCTTCGAATGGCTGTTGGAGGTTGATACTGAGCACCCAAAAAGATCAGGAGGCGGTAGAAGCTGGTAGAAGGTCAGAATTGATGTAATTGTCGGTACCTAGCTGGAGGATCTGTACTATTGCTTCGAATGCCAAATATTAATATCATTGAATATTCAAGGAAAATCAAAGACTTTATTCGGAGGATATGTGCTGTAAATTGTAACTAAACATGAGATAATCATGTTGTCGTTATCGTATGTTTATCTCATGTTTATCTGCCGATAATTTGGAATTTCCCCCACATATTCCTCGTCCATTATTTAGCCTCAAAGTGCAGTGTTGACTTTGCTCAATATTTGAACGTTCTGAACGAACATTCTTACGCACTGATCAGCTGTGCATGCACCATCACTTCACGCGCGCAATGACGTTGACACACCGTGACAGTGGGCCAATTATGATATATATTGGGACATTCCATCCCCACTCAACTCATCTAAGCTTTCTTCTTCCCCTCCATCATCTCGTCGTCCTCTCAACAAAATCTTGCTGTTGACCTCAACCATCCTGGCATCGTCTGACGCATGACTTTCTTGCTTGGCCACTGCACTGACGAGGTAGGTACTAGGCCTTTTCACGGCCCAATCGATTTGCTGATCCCACTCACTCGACAGTCATCCAGTTGGTCTTGTGGTTCCTGCGACAAGTAAGTGCTATTTACGGCGCATATATACGCACAATTCAAACATTGGGAGTTGTCTGGCATTGTCAGGTTCGTTCTCTGACTGTTTTACATCATTGCTAGTTCAATATCATTGTCCCCATGATCAACACGTCCAGCAGCTTCAACGGATACAGTTGATTGGTGAGTTCCATTAAAGCTACCTAATATACTTGAACTGATTCGGGCCATTCTTGTAGAAACACGGAAATGAGGCAGCCGTCATTGTAAGTCCTGTCTACTTGTCTGGCAACCACATCTAACAATGATATAGTATTCTGGTCAAGGACTCCCAGGATGCGGACAACACCGAGTCCGCGAGTATCATTGGCAAATTGGTGGAACTATGTAGTATGTAGAATGTGCCAGAAGTTGGGCTACATCATTCAGACACATAGGTGGGGTTGCGGTATATTAATATAGAGTACACTTTTTATCGCATTTGTAATGTTTTCCTAACACAATTTTTTTCACTCGATTTGCGTCGATGAGTGGATATGCAAAAGTCAATTGGGAGCTACGATAATATACTGGAATCCACGCTACGCAAACACGCTCGATTCCGCAATATCTTACTCGATGCGAGTCGCTGAAAATATCATATAAGTCTCATCCGTCTCCCCAAATCGACGGAAATATTGTCGCGATATTTCCATCGTTTACCGTCGATACGGCTAGGACCGTTTCTCACTGGGATTGAAATTTGAAATGTTGTTGAAAATCCGATAAGGTCACCATACAATGTCAGTAATAATATTGGGTTCAAACTTGGTTCAAACTCACTGTAGTTCCTGACGCCTGCAGGTTGATCAATTCCACTGTCCATGGGCTTTCAAAGTTCCTGAAGGATTAACGTGCACACATTCGATTGCTCTCTCTTCAAAGTATCCTGACAAGTTGCGATCAGAGGGCTCCGAGTCAGCATCTACTGTCAAGAAGGTCGCCGTGTTCATGAAAACTTGTTACCGGCGTTTGTTATTTATTCATACGATACGCGTTCGAAAGGGACACTGCACATCCGCCAGAGCTCCTGCTACGCTGAGACGAAGGAGATCCCTAGTACTTGCTATATCCGCACGAGATCAGGAAGTGCCTTGTCACGGAGAAGGATCGTTAGTATAAACCTTCCATTTGGGGTCTCATGTGTGCGATAGATATCACTATTACACTGTCATTTTTACGACCACAGTAGAAATCACGATCACCATACACTCGCCCATCACCAACTGACCCTGGAACATGGGATTTCGTGACTAGTGAGTAGCTCATCATCGATCATCCGCCACAATCATTCGATTTACCTCCAGCAGATACCCCGATCGATATTCAGTCTCCTTTCTTGAGAAGTAGTATGTGTATTGATGTTCTTGAATTAATACGTTCACTCTCAAACGTCCCTCCTAGATCGCCGCATGCTTTTCATTGACCTCCTCGCAATCCACATGGTCCTCGACGGAAAAGAAAACACTATCATCCTGAGTTTACATGGCACCGAATATCTGCTACCCACTCACTCATGCAGCTTGTAGGGGAAAGTGTATACTGGCGAAATATTCAACAAGTCCAAAGATCCAACATATTCCTCTTCCTCGTGATTTTACGGTATACGCTATAGGCATGGGACGAGTCTGCTATATTGGCCCGCTGGTATGTAGTTCTTGAGTGAAAGTGATGTTACTCAAGCACATCCAGGAGCTACGAGTACTGTAAATGGATAATATATCGCTTATACATGACCTCCATATCCCTCAAGCGCGTCTTTGCACTACCAATCACTCCTTCATGGCTTCAATGTATCAGTAATGTTTATGGAGACGACCCCCAATCCGGCCATGGAGTTCCATGAAGTTACTGACGAAGAGCGCACAGACTTAAATGTATTGTTGAAGATGAAGTGCAAGAATCTACTAATTGAAATAGATCGTCTAGAAGGGCGATGGATGATGCTGAGGTTCTCATACCTCACGATAGTCTTCCTACCAGCAAGTTTCATTGCGGTAATCATAGAGATCTTTTGTACAGAGACTTTCTGACTGCGTATGTCTTCAGTCCATCTTTGGGATGAATGTCAAAGAGATCAAACAATGGGACTCAAACACTCGCTCGCTACGTGGTGACCACCGTTGCGCTCACGCTTTTCACGATTTAGTACATCGTCACCATGCTTCAGAGACAACGGTTCCGCAAATGCCATGCTACCTTGCTGCAGCGCGCAGTGTGGCCCATTCTTTTCCTCTGGATAACTAATGGCAACCAATCATATTACAAAATTCAGATCTGAATTAGAAACCAATAATATATTTTTGGCTTCAAGGACTCGGAGGTTCATGATCAGGGACATATCACATCTTGGGAGAAATTTGTGGTTGACTGATGCATCTTATCTAACACTTCTCAATCAAACGAAAATTACGCCAACTCCACCGGTGTTTTCCTGATGGCGCGTTGATGAACCCTACAAATCACTAATAACTCTCGCGTCAATGCCAACGGCCATACTGCACTGATATGAAAGCAGAAACACGACTCACCACACAAAAAGTACTTAGGTACTGCCATGCCGGTGAGTTATGTGATCAAATCAAGGAAAATTACTGAAACTCACGCAAATCCCAACCCAACAGCCTTTGCACACTTCGTCTGTTTTGCAAAAGTTGGGACATATATCAGTGCCACTGGTAGCCGCGTCAGCAGGCATGGCAGAGATTGGTGACGAGGCTGAAGCAGCAATGACGACGAGGACAATTGCAGAGGAGAAACGCATTATTTGCGACTCGTGTGCTACGGGATCAGATAATTCTGGAGCATATAGTAGGTCTAGGAGGACGGTTGGCTTTTATGTGCTGAATATTGTTATTTGAAATTGTTCTTGCGTGGTTGTGCCTTCGAACAGATGAATGCCAGCAGATGGCAAGCCAAGGTCTACTAGCAATTTGGTATGGAACTACTGTCTACTGAACATTCGCGTTCCCAACCAGCTGTCGACTGGGCAACAAAAGCACTTGGAGAGCCACGTCAAACGCGAGAGCACATCTTGCGCGATCGTCCACTATTCACATGCCAACACATCTACTTGCACGAAGTATCCCACGATATCAGAGATTTGGGTACGGAGAAGGGGATAGAGGCACTAACGAAAGTCATTCAAGAGTCTGACGCTTTCAAGAAGGTCGCCTTACTAGGACAAGCGAGGGATTGTGAGAGATAGAGGGGAGGAGGAAGAGAGAGTAGGTGCAGGAGTGGGAGATGGAGGAAGGAAGGGGAGATGATGATAGGTGGAGAGTGGAGAGTGGAGGATAAGGAGGAAGTGTATCATAAAGTTGTACCCAACTCGAACGCCGAACAAACTAACTCGCGCACCGACGTATCATCTCAAACACGGACCCCTCGGCGATCCGCGTTATACCTACACCTTATATTTGTTACTATATCCCCTAACATAGCTTATTGGGCACTGCGCTTTAACTGTTTTTTTGTTTGTAGTGGTATAGTATATAGTTTTCTCCGATGAAAAGTAAGTCTGATAAATCATTTCTCTTCCTCGTCGACACCACCACCTGCAATGCGCTCTCTTGGAAATCTTTTCTCTTACCCACCACTCCTTTATGGTACCCATAAGACAATCACGATGTGATTTAAACTTGCAGTTCGTCCCCGTTGGGTGACCTTCCAGCTACTACACTGAGGTGAAGAAGAGAAATTCTAGCTGTTCGGATTTCGTTTTATTGCAAACACCGAGCAAGGAGTAATGATCTATTTCGCCGACTTTCTTTCACTTTCATCACATTCTGCTCGCTCGCACATGTTTCTTTTCTGTCACCCGCCGCTCCCTCATACATTCAAACCGCAGTACTTTGGCCCAGATGCGCGTCCCTTACTATAAAGGCAGCTACATAATTCAGTCATTCAACACTTGAGTGGACATGGATGAACCAAGCTTGTGAGTTCTCAATAGGGTAAGGGTGCCAGAAGAGCATTACCGCGCTATTCCTCATGGAGCAGCTGTACAAAACTTTGCCCTTTAGGATGTGCAATGCGGAACTTGCCCCCAGTTAAACCAACGGGATCGCATCATCGCACTCGTGGTTGGCTATCATGATACCTGGACACGTTGTACGACGGTGCATTATATAACCTACGTTGCTGCGACGCGTTGATACCGTGTCAGCTGTTCATCAGTGATCAACTAGGATACCTACAAGAGATTGTGACGGACTAGTCTGTGAAGAGTAGTGACCACTGTTATGTAGTTATTTCTCGGGATGATCTTTGGCGACTGACAAGGAATATCGCAGATGTATTTTATAAGGATGATGAAATTTGGCACATATTTTTTGATCGACGCAGACATGGACAGCGGATAGAGATCGATAGTAAAGTCAATCGAAATGTGATTCATCTGACACGTAGTATGGGCCAGTTCTAGAAGCAATGAAATTGTAGCGTCGCAAGGGTCATTTTCTTGCCAACTTGCCTCAGAGCCATGGTCATCGCCAGAGAACATCCTGATATTGTAAACCACATCTTCGCTCTCTACGTCCACTTCTTCATCACGAAGCATGCCTTCGATGGAGCCAATCTGCAGTTCAGTTGCATTCATCTGTGTTTGGATCTGCTCGATTTCATCGTCGACAATGTACCTCATCAGTTCAAGTTCCTGGCTACGAAGGCGTTGGATCAGATCATCGCAGTAAAGACCCAGCGAGTGATAC